TTTTGTGTTTAAAAATTATTTCTATAATTTATGGACCACATGATACAAATCATATTCACTATAATAATACGAATCTTCTTTGAATTAGCAGTTGTAATTTTTTCTCCTTAGCTTCCCTTTTTTTGCCGATTTGAAGGTAATAATGATAGAATTTGCACTAACATCTTTCTCCTTACCTTTTTTTTGGCGAATTAGTTGTAACAGAGAAAGAAATTTCACTATTGATGGCATGAATTGCTCTTTCATATCCACTTATGGGAAATTGAGTAAATGCATTCAACTCAAAATGTAATTTAGAACATATGATGAGGCTGTTAATATTGCGTTGAAACCTTGACTTAAGGTCCTTTCTAGAAGTAGAATTCATAGAATTTTTCATAGTAAAAAACAATAAACAAAAACATTTTTTGTTCTTGAATTAGAGGTGATTTTTAAAAAGAAAAAAAAAGCAAGAATAGAAAAGAACCAAAGATATTATAAAAAATGGAGGTTTTTACCTTAGATACTAACAATGGAAGAGATGAGAGAGTAATAAGAGAGAGAACATTCTTGTAATTGAGATGAATGATGGAGAGAGAAAAAAAGAGATCTTGTTATGAGTTCCAAAAAAATAAGCACACTAACAGAAAAAAACGTGTATTTTTTTAAAAATTTTCATATTTATAATTAAAAACATAGTTTTGTAAATAAAAAAGAATATATTTTATATTGTAAATTAGAATCTTAAACACAATATCTTATAATTGTTCCCTTTAAAGGGGCATACCGTAGAAATAGTCATATATATAAAGTAGCTTTTGGCTTCTTTTCTATTTATAAGAAAATTTGATAATGAAAAATGAATTTAAGGTAAACTCAATATAGCTAACCTAATAAAGATATTTAATCCATATAAATGCGATCTCATTTTAAAAAATGAACCATATTGGTTGGTCCATGAATCCAATGGCAAAATAAAGAAATAGTAAGTTGTACTAAAATTTGATGTTACTGGGGAATTTTGGGATTTTAAGAAAATATTGGTAAAACTGGATAAAAAGCTAGGTATTTTAACTTGAGTTATGCCTCAAATTCAAATTACATAATAGATGGGTAATTGCAGAAAAGTGATAGGGTTATCGGGTTTTCATCTCGACTACAAGCTATATCATAGATAAATTCAAAAATCGTCTAGTATTCCTAGTGTACGAAGGATAACATGCTGGGATGACTGCTATCAAATTTTCAATTAGTGAGCCTGAAAACGGAGTGTATGAAGTTAATGAGACTATTGTTACTATTCTTGATGCTTAGAAGCTCATGTGTGTAAAACAATAACATTTGTACATATGATACATGGTTATACAATAAAAACATGCTTAAGGTTTATATTGGTTATTTTACTTTCTTATATTGTTGTCTCTGTTTGAATTTGTTGAATCCATGAAAAGATTGGATCGACGGATACAATTTTAGGGTTCAAAATGGGGATTTAGATTATTCAAACACCCTTTAGATTAAGAGGTAAAGTTGGTCAAATCTATTTTTATGTCTGTTTTTGACTTCTGGAAGGATTTGATAAATATAAAAAATAAATCAAAAATGACATAAAATAAATTAAAAAGTATTTGACAAGGTCAAAAATGACTTAAAGTAAATTTAAAATGACTTAAAGTAAGTCAAAAACAAAAGTGAGTCTCCCCCTACTTTTTATTTTTTGACTTAAAAGTCATTTAATAAGTTTGCAGGCTCTACCTTCAGCATAATAGAAGGTCTAAGTGATCAGGTATCTGGTCAGTGGCTTACCAGTAATGCAAGCATTGTGTCTGTGGACCAGCTATCTGGAGGGGCGGGCCTACGTGGAGGTGAGGGGTTCATTTCATCAAAAAATTACACGGCATATACAAGGTCAAATTTCAGTATTATGTTTATATACTATAATGAACCCCCCAATAACATATGAGAAGCTTAGTTCAATTAGGGGTGGGCGTTCAGTTCTTCGGTTCGATTCTTCGGTGTTTGGTTTTAGAAAAGTGTGCACCGTATATTAAACCAAACTAATTTGATTTGGTTCGATTTTTTCTACTTCGGTTCGGTTTAGTTCGGTGTTTTTAAATCGATTTTTCGGTGTGAATGAAAAATAAAATAAGTATAAAATGTAAGATACTTAGAAATTTATGTGTATCACAGTGGAACACTTATTGTGCTAACTAAAAGACTATATTTGTCTTTATCAAGAGCATTGTGCTTCCAACTATTTCTCAAGAAAAACAAGTACGAAGACTGTTCCTTTACATAATGTACATTGGTAGAAATATGTTTGAGTTTCTCTTGAAAATTAATATTTGAAGTTAACTATTGAATTGTACATTTGTTGTTACATTGATTTGTTCATGAATGATTTAATTGTTACTAAAAATTTTAATTTTTAGTTAAGAGAATGCCCATATATATAAAATTAATTAATTTTTATTTTTTTAAAAATAAAAGTTCGATTCTTCGGTGCACTGCCTTACATCGAACACCGAACCAAAAAACCAAACTTTCGAAAAAATAACACCGACACCGAATCGAAAAATTAAAGAACCGAAACCGAAGAACCGAATTAGTTCGATTCGATTCGATTTTTCGATTTTTCGATATAAGGGGGTTCAAAGTTGCCCAAGAGACCCAATTTCTAGTCTCGTGTATTGCATTATTTTTGTTGAATTTTTGCTTCGGTTTCCGGCTCAAATTTAGAGCTAGAATCTAACCCATCTCAATATATATGGGCTGGATCTTTGTTATTCTTCTTACTTTTTTAAATAAAAAACTTATTTTTGCTCTTTTGTATTATTTCTTTATCTTAATTTGTTTTTGTTTAAATTTTTTAGGTATGTTCTTTTTAATTTAACCATTTATTCTTCTTATTTTTATTGCTCATTTTGTTTGTAAATAACTTTTTTTATGTATTAACTTGAAGAAATTATTTTAAAATGATGAAAAAATTGTTATTAAACTTGAAATTAAGGTAAAAAAATATTTTAAATAAATAAGATAAGAATATCCTTAATTCCTTTTAATAATATCTATTTAATTGAATTTTTTCTTTGATTTCATGAAATTTCTTTCCTACTTTTCAATTTTATTCTAAAGAGGTGAAAATTAAACTAAATTTATTTGATTTATTCATTTTTTCAATGCTAACCTAGTAAATTAAATTAAAAAATCGACGATGTCATCTTTTTACCTTTTGAATATGTAATAATATTAGTAACTTAATCTTTACACTATTTTAAAAAATTGTGGTGATTTTCAAAGAAATATATGATTGAATGGGCACTGATTCACAATTTAAAAAGTTTAATATTAAATAGAATACTACAAAATAAAAGGAAAAAAACTTTAAGAAATTTTAAGAAGACTCTATGGAGTATAATAAAAGTATAAAGAGCCGCTAAACGGAGTACGACAAGTCTAGTTAAATTTAGCAAGTTAAGAATAGTCTTTCTCTTCTTCGCCTTATAATTTTCACATGTTTGCTTCTTCATATATTGAACCCCCTTAACTAAAATCCTAGCTCTGCCACTGACTATCTGGACATACCAAGGCTATAGGGGAAGGTTCTGTACGAATTATCTTTAAATAGGAAGGAGTATGTAGAGGACACGTATAAGGATAGAGGGTTAGTAGGTAATATAGTGTTTGTATTATTAGGGTGATTGGTATTTGTCATTGTATTAAGTAGGCGTTTGGCCATGCGATACCATATCAAGATACAAAATTGCGAGATGGAATCAGCGGTTGGACATGCGATTTCATGTTGATTCCATCTCATGATTTCATATCATGAGATGGAATCCCATATTCTCCAAAAATCATGATTTGGAAATTCCATATCATGATTTTGTTATTACTTTAAATTTAGTGAGTGTAATGGTAAAGTAGGAATTGATTTGGTGAATATAAATAAGAACGGAGGGAGTAATACTTTTTTATTTGTTCATAATAAAAAGAACGTCTCTTTCGGCTACATATGAAAATGTTTAAAGCAATTTAATATGAAAATGGACAAAATTGGTGATGTATGTTTGATAATCACTACTTCCAACATGTTTGATTTTAGCACGAAATTAATGCACTGAAAATGTGTAATTGCACACAAGTGAAACAAGACATGAACCACTATGATATTGACACACAAGTGAAAATTGACATAGCTTGTACAATGTTACATAATTATATGCGAGAATACCAAAGGATTGATGAAATATCTATGGGCTATGAGCATGAAAATATAGTTGTGAATGATATTGACCTACAAATGGCTCAAAGTAACAATGTTGGTTCGTTTTCTCGGTCATATGATCGAGAAATGCAAGTTCAACGTGAGGAGATTGACAGTACTACCTAGGAGGATTATATTAAAGACTAGTACGCCACAATTTATGTTCATTTTTTTATTGAATTAAAGTTTGATCAATTAAAAAGTTAGATGAAACACTTACTTAAGTGGAGAACAAATAACTTTGTAATAATTTATCATGCAATTTAGGGAAAAAAGATAAATATACCCCTGAACTATCATAAATGGTATGCAGATACTCTCTTTTATACTTTTGGGACATTGGTGCCCTTGCCGTCCAAAAACTAGAGCATATATACCCTTTATACTAACGGACATACACGTGTCATAATCTTATCCACCGACCCAACATTATCGGATCGACGGATAAGATTGGCCAATTTAGGAAGTAAGATATTTTAGCCATTAACTAAAAAATGATTTGGCTTTATTGTGGGATCCAAAAAAAAAAACCCCAAAATTATGAATGGTGATTATCAACCAAAATAATAGCACCTCAAGTAAATATTAAACGGAGTAAAATTAAGAAAAAACAAAACAAGTCAGAAACATCAATTGATAACAAAATCCCTTATTTTCTCTCTGCATGAAAGGTAAAACTTCTAATGATAAGTGAATAACACAAATACTCATATCATCTCTTATTCTTCTTCTTCTTTAATTTGTACAATCAAATATGAGTCTCAGTTGTTTAACCTGCAAGATATCGAGGACAGATTCAACAAACGAATTAAATGAGAAAAAATTCAATAACAATGTTGACAAAAATAATAAAGAAAAACACAAATTTAGCAGAAGATCGGTAGAAAGGAGTTGGTCAGGGAATTTGGAATCAACAAGTAATGAAAAAAAAATGACTCATTCACTTTCGATCATCCCAGAGAACAAGGTCAAAAAAGGTTCGCATCGCACGTGTAATAGTGGTCCAATTGAATTCCCTACAGAGACACCCAAGTTAGTCAGGAGCCCAGGAATCAGAAGGGATTGGAGTTTTGAAGATCTGCAACGTCAAATAGTACGTTAACGTTTCATAAAATAGGTGAATTCAGAATTTAAATATAATGACGGTAATGTCATTATATATATACTTTTTTTTAATATAATTATATGATATCATACAGATCCAGTCTGTCTTAGATCTTCCTTTGGTGGATAACAGACAAGATATATATATGTTCACAGGATTAGTTATGTAACATAACATTCCTTGTTGAAATTAATTTATACTATTCTGTATATCTTCGATTTATTTTTTCTCTCTATAAATTACACACATCGTGTGTTTGATATTTCCTTGTGTTGGGTTTTAAAAGGTGTGAATGGAAAATGAAGAGTTGCGACTTTTATGAAGAGTTGTGACTTTGATGAAAAGTTGCGACTATTATGAAGAGTTAGTTGCGACTTTTATGAAAAGTTGTGACTTATATGAAAGGTGGTGACCTTTCCGAAAGATTAAGACTTTTCAAAGGTTTGTGACATTTCCGGTAAGGCACAATAAGAACCTTTTCACACTACCCTCTGTTTTATATAAATTGAGGGATTTCATCTCATTTTAAAAGAACCAATTTCTGGACTTCTTCTACTACTAAATCTAGTATTCTAAGTGTACTTTACTGCCGTTGAGTGGCTCGCTGACACCAGCGTTTTGGATATCAATACACTGGTGATTGAGATCATTCTATCCTGGGAGGACATATTCCAAATCAAACCTCGGATACTAGAGGGGAATAATTTCCTTAAGGGGACACTGTGCATTCAGTGGGCTTGATCTTCTTTTGTTTTTCCAAATTCTGTTTTGTTCTAAGTATCTTAGGAATACAAGATGAAGAACACCTTGTGTATCCAGAATAAAAGGAGATATATCAACATTTTCTATCACTAGGTTGAAATTGGAAGAGAATAGAATTGTGGCAGGATGGATATGTACAAGTTAATATATTGGGGGTAAATCTGCATTTTGTTTACAAAATTAAATGTTCAATATTTGAATATAATCTGGATATTAGTTCTTTGTTAAAAATTCCAGATTTTGATGTTGGTAATATATTAGTACTATTAGCCTGGATTTTTTTTCGTATTGATTAATTTCCAGATAAAAAAGTTATATGGTAAATTGTTTTATCTCCTTCGTTTCTTTTAATTTCTCTCATTCTTGAAAAATGATCAAAACGGAGCTGACAAAGCTGAAAATTTCCAATTTTGCAAATATATTGTTGGATTTAAAAATTTGAAATTATGGTTGTAATTACTTTTAATGTGAAAATTGTGTGTGTTTAATCAGTGTATATGAATTATTATTTTTTCTATATAAAAATAATAGCATATGACTTCAAAAGTAATGGCGCATGAGTTTCCATAATCCATAACGTAGGTCCACCATTATTTGCAGAAGTCATTGTTACATCATTATTGGATAGAGCATGCCACCATTCTCCGCAATCACTTCCAGAAAATAAGAAGCTAGTGACGGAAAAAATTTATAGTTAAATAATCAAAATTTCATGTTAATTCTATTTATTATGAATTAACAATGGATTATATGAAGATTCAATTAGCTAGGAGCTATATAGCGACGGTTAGCTAGAAATTATGGATAAATGCTAACTTCATATATATTTTCTTATGGTCTAAAATTAGTTTTCATATATATTTTCGAGTATAAACCACATGTAAGTTTTTGGTAGGTCACGGGTCTCCCATGTGGACCGATCCAATCTTATTCGATCTGATTCATGTTATTTAATTTTTAGAAAAGAATAAAATAATTGGATAATGTTGTTTTTGAAAAGAAGAGGGAGCAGGTAAGGAGTTGTAATGTTCAAATCCCTCCTTTTAAAAGGAGACCTCTTCTTTTCTGAAGAGTAACAACGATAGAACTTGAAGAAAATTAAAGAGGAGAGAACATGTAAACGTGAGAACGTGAAAAAAACAAGAAAACAGGGAAAATCAAAACATTACTTTTTTTTTTGGTAATTATCAACTTTTATTAATCACCAAATATAGGCATTACAAATTAGTGGTCAGGTTAAACGCAACCTGCCATCTTAACTAGAAAGAAACTTAGAAGGAGCTATCAAACAGAGGCTAAAACTTAAAATCTTTGACAGTACACCTGATTATGGGAGGAGCTCTAACACATGAGACATAGGCTATCTCCTTTGCAATTGATTCTCATTCCCTACCTCTCTTTTTGAATATGCGAAAGTTCCTCTCCATCCAAATGGCATAGATAGTCTCGGAATACACCATTTTGAAAACCTGAGCTCCTTGGGAGTGCCCCTTAGAATTTGCAATCATCCAATCCAAATGTTGGTCCCATTGTACAGTGTTGTACTGTTGTCCAGTTTTCCATAATTAATCCATATATGCTTAGCATAGTCACAATGCACAAATAAGTGTTCTTTGGTTTCCTCATGCTTACAACAGAGTGGACATTTTGAATCAATTTGCATTCCCCATTTAAGCAATCTATCAAATGTTAATAGTTTTCCCCACATGAGCAGCCAAGTAGTGAATATAGCCTTAGGCCTTGCTGCGTTCTTGTACATTATTGACTTCCAGGATACTCTAGGGTATATCTTCAGATTAGCATAATATATTTGTCTGATCATGCTTTTACCTGGCTGGCAGATTGGAATTAGTTGTAACATGTCTTGTGACCCAAAGATACTTCTTATCAACTAACACGCCTGTTTCGGTATTTGGATATGCTCTAGTTGCTGCCCTTTTATATAATACGTGTGGATCCATCTAATCCAAAGTTTGTCCTGCTTATTGGCAATATCCCACAAAGACTTCGCTAGAGCTACTTTGTTCCACAAGAAGATATTAATCAAGTTTAAACCCCCAACACACCTGGGGTTACAGACATACTCACAAGCTACCAGAGCTTTCTTCGTGATTGTACCACTCCCTGCCCACAAATAACTCCTACAATATGCATTTATAAAATGTAAAACTTTAGCTGGTATGAAGAATAGTTGCGCCCAATAGGCTAGGATGCCAAATATTACTGATTTAATGAGTTGAGCCCGACCTACATAGGATAGGTTCATGGCAATCCAAGATAAAATTCGAGATGTTATCTTGTCCAGTAATGGTTGCAATTGGATGAGGGAGATCGTTTTGGTAGCTAAGGGCACTCCTAAATATTTGAAAGGTAATTCACCATAGCTAAATTCCAATATATGAAGGATTTTGTCTTGTTCTTCTCTAGTTACCCCCACCAAAGTAAATTGAGCTCTTACCAAGGTTAGCTACAAGTCCAGATGCTTGAGAAAAAGTTTGGAAGCAGTTGCGGAGAGCAGATGTTGAGGATGTGTCTCATCTAGCAAAGAGAAGTAAATCATAAGCAAAACCTGATGTTTAGCTTACGCATCTAAGGTAGTAGTGGAAGCCTTTTATCCCCTTCAACCCCTTCTGTAGCCTACTCAAGTACTCCATTCCTATGGCAAAAAGGAATGGAGACATGGGTCCCCTTGTCTTAACCCTTTAGCAGCATTGAAAGGCTCAGTAGGTTCTCCATTGATGAAGATAATGTAGCTTACAGTTTGCACACATTCCATAGTCCAATTAGTGAACTTTCAGGGAAGCCAAGCTCAATCATGACCTGTTTCAAATAGCCCCATTCAAGTGAGTCATAAGTCTTTTGTAGATCAATCTTGATCATACATCTAGGAGATATATTCTTCATTTTATAGCTTTTAATCAATTCATGAGCAAGTAGAATATTGTCCCCAATCTTTCTGCCTGGGATGAAACCAGATTGGGCTTCACAAATAATATGCGATATCACATTTTGCAATCTGTTTGCTAGGATCTTAGCAACGATCTTGTAAAGGACAGAGCAACAAACAGTTGGTCAAAACTCTTTGATTGTGGTCGGGTTAGGAGTTTTGCTAACCCTGCCACACTCACAGACACTTAGTTTGTGAATGTATCATAGTGATTCAAAGAGAGATTTGGAGCAACTCGTTTTGATAGCGAAATCAACATCAACAATTTCTACTGCAAATATTAAGATACACACCCTATTGTTGTTTTGCTCTTAAATTTCTTTCATTGGTATTAAAGTGTGGTTGATTAATCATGTTATTCACTACTTTCATGTGATTTATTGTACATGTATTCACTGTCTTGTTGAAAGAAAGAAATTGCGACTATTTTTTTCTTGAAAATCGATGATTTTTTTTTTTAGAATTAGTTAGTTTTTTTTGTAGCCTTTTTGAATGTGAATTAATTACATTGTAGATAAGATTCTTTGTTCTACAACGATTTTGACTTATATTTCAGATAGGATTCCTTGTCCTACAATGATAGTGACTCTACGATTTATTTATTTTAATATTTTATTAATTCTTAAGAAAAACTGTTGCTATTTTTCTGTTTTTTGAGTCCAGAATGTTCAAAATTTGGCATGAAAATTTTATTTTCATGATCTATTCATTCGTAGATTTCCGTGGATATATTGTAAGAGTAAAAGAGATTTAAAACGAGAGAGATATGATTTTTAAAGTTGACTGATTTTGGTTTGTTTTCCAGAAGAAAAAAAATTGTTTTTGTTTTGTTGCATATTGAGAGTTGTTAGTTTAAAATTAAGGATTGAAACTTATTTTTTCAAGATATACTTGTTCATAACTTTCCGTGGATATATTATAAGTATAAAATGAATTTAAAACGGATGAGATATGATTTTTTTCGTTATAAATTCGTTTTACACTTATAATATATCTACGGAAAGATATTAACGAGTAAATCTTGAAAAAATAAGTTTCAATCCATAATTTTAAACTAACTCAAAAAACGCAACAAAAAGGAAGCAGTTTTTATTTTTAGAAAACAATCCAAAACCAACCAACTTTAAAAAATATCATATCTCACTCATTTTAAATTCATTTTATACTTATAATATGATGTAATTCTCCCAAGAAGAATCACAAACAACAGCGGAAATCAAAAGACAAGAAAGTAAGATAAATAGATAGACACAAAAAGAGAAAACAAAAAGCAACCAAAGGGTATATTAAACCTA